AAAACCAATTGGTACAAAATATTCCCGCACTGAACCATATAAGGGAATTTTTACATATAAAAATGTTTTCTAAAAAACAATTTCAAATATAAAAACGGTTCGTTTGCTTGAAATTGTAAAAAAAAATGAGGAAATTCTAAAAAAAAAGGGGAAAATTTTATCAAAATAGACTTCTCAATAATTTACCAAAATAGACTTCTCAAAATAGACTTCTCAATGATATACACCTTTTTCAACTATTTCAAGTATAATATTAAAATACCTATGAATTTTCAATACACCATGTTACTGTATATAAAAAATTTCATACCCTTTCTTTTGAAAAGTTCCCATTTGCTCTTTTCGCACTCTTCATCTCTTAATGGTTAAAAAAATAGCCTATCTACACCTCTTTTTTCGTTTCTTTCTAACACAGTTCTGTATTCTGCCTGTAATCTCCCATCAACAACTCTTTTTTTTTTCTTTTTGCCTTTCCATCTCTTCCTCACTATCTTCAACCATTAAAAGAACTTGGATGTTGCACTCTCTTTTCACACATGCTGGCTTTTTCTTAGCATCATTTTGTCCCTTCCTTTTAAGTATTTGTAGGTTGGGAGTTTTCTCTCCCTTGCTCTGTATCATCAATGAAATGGAAACTCAAGCCCGTGTAATTTTGTGTTTGCACTTCTTTTTTTCATTAATATTAGAAGGTAAAAAAGTAAAAATAATAGTATAAATTTTGACTAGATCAAATCTCTAATCAACATTGATTAGTTCTTACTTTTAATGAGGGATATGAAAATGCACGTTTAGTTCTTCCACTTGTGCTAGAACACAACTGACGGTGACACTCTGTCGGACACTCATGAAACACTAAATGTGTCAAAAAAAAAAAAAAAAAAACCTGCTATGAATGGTGCCTAGGCGATAAAAACATGCTATGAATAGTGCCTAAGCGATAATAGGTGGCGGGGAAAAGCTTATTTTTCCTCATATAATGACGAAGCATATCTTAAGAGGCACACTCTAAACTTGCCCTTGACTCATATCTAACATATTTGTTTCATGATAGGTTCACAGGACTCAATTAATTTGAACATCTTATATTTTAAGAAAAAAGTTTACATAAGTTTGCAACTTTAAAATGTAGAAGTAAAGATGCACCTCGAACAGCTATTGAAAAATGTTGTTTTGATGTTGAAAAGCCCTCTAATTGATAATCTCGACATTGAAATGTATGG